CAGAAAGAATTTTCTCTTAGAATTTACCCTGAAAATGTAATTGTGGAACAATTGGAAGAATTCTTATATAAGAATTTCTCTGATTAATATTTATAATAATAAAAATATTAATATATTCGATTAATTGTACCATGTACATATCATAATAAAATTTTTTATTATGATAAATATTAAGAATTGATGATAATTGGAAAAATTCTATAAAGGTTTCTCTGATTAATATTTACCATAATAAAAATATTAATAACGATATAAAACTATAAAGTCACCAGATGATAATTAAAATGGTAATAATTCAATCAACCAACTCTGGCAATTAAGTAATTTTATTGAATTTTCACAACGTTTCGGCCATGGGTTTCGGCCCTTCTCAAGTGCTTAAATGTGTTTAAAACAAAATAAATCACAACTTTTTTAAAAAACAAAAATTCGATCTTAAAATATGACATGATATAATAACATGATAATATGAAACAAAATAACTATGTTATCGTATATTTCGTTTTCATACTATCATGTTATTATATCATGTCATATTCTAAAATCAAATTTTTGTTTTTTAAAAAAGTTGTGATTTATTTTGTTTTAAGCACATAGCACTTGATAAGGGCCGAAACCCACGGCCGAAACATTGTAAAAATTCAATAAAATTACTTATTTGCCAGAGTTGGTCGATTGAATCATTACCATTTTTAAAAATATTAATATTTACTACAATAAAAAATGGTAGTAATTTAATCAACCAACTCTGGAAAATTAAGTGATATTTATTTAATATTCACGACGTTTCGGCCATGAGTTTCGGCCTTCATCAAATGCTACAATATATAATAATGACAATTATTAGAAAATTAAAAAATTAAAAAGTAACAAAGCAACTGTAATAAAACAATAAATATTCCACACAATTATATGTAAACCTATCTAAAACATAACTTTTATAAAAACTTAATCTTTGATCTTAGAATGTGACAAGATATAATGTGAAACAATTTACTATGTTATTGTGTCGGTTTCAAGCTCTTTATATACTCATTACTTTGATCAAACTAAACGACCTTTATTAGTTTTTCGTAAACAATATTTAGATTATCCGTGTCTTTTTGTAAATTGATTGTATTGTCAAATTTTTTGATAAAAAACATCTCCGCGATTTCTCGTTTTCGTACATATTTCTCATGATGTAAAATTTCAGGAGCGGACCAATCAAAATCATGACCATTATCCAATTTATGATTACTAATGACTGAATAATTACTATTGTGTTGTCCCTTGATGTTATTAAAATGTTCTTTTATACGTGTGCCTAATTGTCGTTTAGTCTGACCGATGTATGATGAGGAACAATTTGCGCAATTAATTTTGTATCCTGTTTTTTTCTTTAAAGGTAAAGGATCTTTGACACGTTTAATTAGTGTATTCAATTTTTTCGGTATACAATAAACGCTTTGCATGCCTATAGATTGTAATAATCTCGAAACGTCTTCACTTAGTTCTTTGACGTACGGTAATTTTATGATGCGGTCAAATTTTTCACTAACTAAATTATCATTGTCAACATTGCGATCGTCGTTATTTGTCTCAAGCAATTTTAGCCTATTTTTTACAAACTTATTAACCACATTCAACGAAAAACCATTGTTCATCAGTATTGATTTTACTTTAGCGATGTTCACTTGATGAAAACTGTCGTCCGATAATAAAATCGCATGATCGACCAGACTAAAAATGGTATTCTTTTGTATTTAAATAGATGGTTTGAATAATAATTGATATATCTACCCGAACATGTGGGTTTCATAAACCAAATTAATAGGATACCATTTCTTCTGATCACAGTAGTTTTCAAAAAATTAATCGAGTCGTCACTTTCAATTTCATGAGTAAATTTTAATCTAGGATGGTAATCATTAAAAACCGACAAAATTTCATCAACACCCTCGCATGGGATAATTGTGAAAATATCATCCACGTATCTGTAAAACAACGAGGTTTTGAAACTTAATCTTTCTAGGCAATCAGTCTCTAAATCATCCATTACGATGTCCGCTAATATGGGTGAGAGCGGAGACCCCATAAGACTGCCAAAAATCTGTTCATAATACTGTTCATTGAAAACAAAACTAGTAGAGTCTAATATGAACTCAATCACATATAAAAATTAGGAAAGATTGAATTTCGTATTGGTTGAAATGTCCATCCAACGCTTTTTTACGCCGCTGATTACTAACTCTTTCGGAATATTCGTAAATAAGGAGGTAACGTCTAATGACATTAGTACTTCGTCATCAGTAATCACCTTGTTCTTAATATTCTTGACAAAGGACCAACCATCCTTAACAAACGATCTCGGTTTCTTAATCGAATTAGCAAGTATATTATGAATGTAGTTTGAAAGATTATATAACGGGCTACATAATAAAGACACTATAATTCGCAGTGGACAATCGATTTTGTGGATTTTCGGTAACCCGTAACATCGTGGTAAAGTCCCGTTGGTTACATAAAATCCTGTCAAAAATTAACTAATACATGCATTCTCTCGATCAAGTCTTGGCTCGATAATACATTGATATACATGACCTACTTTATAATTTTAAATGTAACCAACGGGAACTTACCACGATGTTACGGATTACCGAAAATCCACAAAATCGATTGTCCATTACGAATTATATTGTCTTCATATGTAGTCCGTTTAATAATCTTTCTAACTACATCCATAATATACTTGTTAATTCGATTAAGAAACCGGATCTTTTGTTAATGACGGTTGGTCCTTCGTCGAGAGTATTAAGAATAAGGTGATTACTGATAACGATTACTAGTGTCATTAGACGTTACGCTCCCTGTTTTACGAACATTCCGAAAGAGTTAGTATCAGCGCGTAAAAAATCGTTGGATGGACATTTCAACCAATACGAAATTCAATCTTTCCCAATTTTATATGTGATTGAGTTCATATTAGACTCTACTAGTTTTGTTTTTAATGGACAGTATTATGAACAGATTTTTGGCAGTCCTATGGGGTCTCCGCTCCACCATATTAGCGGATATCGTAATGGACGATTTAGAGACTAACTGCCTAGAAAGATTGAGTTTCAAAACCACGTGGTTCTGCAGATATGTGGATGATATTTTTGCAATTATCCCATGCGAGGGTGTTGATGAAATTTTGTCGGTGTTTAATGATACCATCCTAGATTAAATTTACTCACGAAATTGAAAGTAACGACTCGATTAATTTTTTGAACACTACTTGTGATGAGAAAGAATGGTATTCTACTAACTAATTGGTTTATGAAACCCACTTGTTCGGGTAGATATATCATTATTATTCAAACCATCCCTTTAAATACAAAAAGAATACCATTTTTAGTCTGGTCGATCATGCGATTTTATTACGGACGACAGTTTTCATCCAGCAAACATCGCTAGTGTTAAAATCGATACTGATAACAATGGTTTTCGTCGAATGTGGTTAATAAGTATGTAAAAAATAGGCTAAAATTACTTGAGACAACGAAAAAATGATGATCGCAATGTTGACAATGATAATTTAGTCAGTGAAAAATTTGACCACATTATAAAATTACCGTACGTCAAGAATTAAGTGAAGACGTTCGAGATTATTGCAATCTACGGGCATGCAATGCGTTTTATTGTATACCGAAAAAATTGAATACACTAATCAAACGTGTCAAAGATCCTTTGCCCTTAAAGAAAAAACAGGAGTTGTATCAAATTAACTGCGCAAATTGTTCCTCATCATACGTCGGTCAGACTAAACGACAATTAGGCACACGCATAAAGAAAATTTTAATAACATAAAGGTACACAATAGTAATTATTCGTTTATTAGTATCATAAATTCGATAATGGTCATGATTTTGATTGGTCGCTCCTGAAATTTTACATCATGAGAAATATGTACGAAAAAAGAAATCGCGGAGATGTTTTTTATCAAAAAAGTTGACAACACAATCACTTTACAAAAGACACGGATAATCTAAATATTGTTTACGATAAACTAATAAAGGTCGTTTAGTGTGATCGAAGTAATGAGTATATAAAGAGCTTGTAACCAACACAATAATATAGTTAATGTTTCACATTACATATATCATGTCACATTTTAAGATCAGAAATTAAGTTTATATATATAAAGTTGTGTTTAAGGTAGGATACATATTATGTGTGGAAATAATTATTTTTCCTCAGTTACTTTTTTTATTAATTTTTTAATTTTAATTTTCTAATAATTGTCATTATTATAATTTGTAGCACTTGATAAGGGCCAAAACCCATGGCCGAAACGTCGTGAATATTAAATAAAGATATATTAAATAGCCAGAGTTGGTTGATTAAATTACTACCATTTTTAATTATCATCTGGTGACTTCAGAGATTTTTACATCTGATATATTATTAGTTTTATAGTATTTCTTCGATACTTGATCAAAGTAATACAAACATAGAAAACTAATAATGAATCAAAGATGAATCAAAATGATAGACAATAGAAATAATGTACATATTTCTGTTTCTTTTCTTATTTGTAATTTTTATTTTGTTACAGCTTTGCAAGAAAATATTGTCACAACTTTATTTATATACACAACAGTAGAATTCTCTCCACTGGTGCGACAAAGAAATAGGTATATATTTTAATAATTTAGATGTACTTTTTTCTGATTTATTAAGATTTTTATTGCCTGTCGCTTATATGTGTCTTTGATGTATTATTAGTCTTATAGTATGTCTTTGATACATATCAAAGTAATACAAACATAGGCAACTAATAATGAATCAAAGATGTATCAAAATGATAGACATAGAAATCATACATATTTCTGTTTCTTTTTTTTATTTGTAATTTTTATTTTGTTACAGCGTTGTCACAAAAGAAATATTGAGACTAATATATTGGGGATCGCTTTATTTATCTGCATTATTTTAAAAAAGTCTGCATCATTCTAGAAAAGTTTGTTTTTTTACAACACTCATCTGTATATAGTATCAGATTATAATATCAGATTAGGTAATTATTTCCTTATCTTTCAGATTTTTGTATTGTATTTGTGTTACATATATGTATAATGTTTGTAAAGCGATTTTGATGATGCTAGAAAAAAAATCAAAACCACGTGGATAGATAGATAGATGATATTTTTGATTCCCCGTAGGGTTACAATTTGTCGGTGTACAAACATTAACAAAAACGATTATAATATCTTCTTAATCTAACTTAACCTATTAATTTTTTAACACTACTGTGATAAAAGGTTGGTATTCTACTAACTAATCGGTTTATGACCCACTTGTTCGGGTAGATATATCAATTATTATTCAAACCATCCCTTTAAATACAAAAAGAATACCTTTTAGTCTGGTCGATCATGCGATTTTATTATCGGACGACAGTTTTCATCCAGCAAACATCGCTAGGGTTAAATCGATACTGATAAACAATGGTTTTCCGTCGAATGTGGTTAATAAGTATGTAAAAAATAGGCTAAAATTACTTGAGACACGAAAAAATGATGATCGCAATGTTGACAATGATAATTTAGTCAGTGAAAAATTTGACCACATTATAAAATTACCGTACGTCAAAGAATTAAGTGAAGACGTTTCGAGATTATTGCAATCTACGGGCATGCAATGCGTTTATGTATACCGAAAAAATTGAATACACTAATCAAACGTGTCAAAGATCCTTTGCCCTTAAAAGAAAAAACAGGAGTTGTATACAAAATTAACTGCGCAAATTGTTCCTCATCATACGTCGGTCAGACTACGACAATTAGGCACACGCATAAAAGAACATATTAATAATTAAAGGTACACAATAGTAATTATTCGGTTATTAGTAATCATAAATTCGATAATGGTCATGATTTTGATTGGTCCGCTCCTGAAATTTTACATCATGAGAAATATGTACGAAAAAGAGAAATCGCCTTTTTATCAAAAAATTTGACAACACAATCAATTTACAAAAAGACACGGATAATCTAAATATTGTTTACGATAAACTAATAAAGGTCGTTTAGTGTGATCGAAGTAATGAGTATATAAAGAGCTTGTAACCAACACAATAATATAGTTAATTGTTTCACATTACATATATCATGTCACATTTTAAGATCAGAAATTAAGTTTATATATAGAAATTGTTTTCTCAAAGATACATATTAATGTTCCCCGTTACTTGTTCTCAGCTTTTTTAATTTTAATTTTCCTTTCTCATTATTGTATTGTGGCACTTGATAAGGGCCAAAACCCATGGCCGAAACGTCGTGAATATTAAATAAAGATATATTAAATAGCCAGAGTTGGTTGATTAAATTACTACCATTTTTAATTATCATCTGGTGATTATTAATTATCATCTACTTCAGAGATTTTTACATCTGATATATTATTAGTTTTATAGTATTTCTTCGATACTTGATCAAAGTAATACAAACATAGAAAACTAATAATGAATCAAAGATGAATCAAAATGATAGACAATAGAAATAATGTACATATTTCTGTTTCTTTTTCTTATTTGTAATTTTTATTTTGTTACAGCGTTGCAAGAAAATATTGTCACAACTTTATTTATATACACAACAGTAGAATTCTCTCCACTGGTGCGACAAAGAAATAGGTATTATATTTTAATAATTTAGATGTACTTTTTTCTGATTTATTAAGATTTTTATTGCCTGTCGCTTATATGTGTCTTTGATGTATTATTAGTCTTATAGTATGTCTTTGATACATGATCCAAAGTACCACAAACATATCGTCTGCGTATGCAAAGATGTATAAATGATTCTCTCCCCTAATCTCATTCCTTTCTTTTTCTTATTTGTAATTTTCCTCTAGTTCCGTTGTCAAGATATTGAGACTAATATATTGGGGATCGCTTTATTTATCTGCATTATTTTAAAAAAGTCTGCATCATTCTAGAAAAGTTTGTTATTTCTTCTCCTATCTATATATTCTAATATCAGATTAGGTAATTATTTCCTCTTTCCTTTTGTATTGTATTTGTGTTACATATATATAATGTTTGTACAAGCGATTTTGAAAAAAAAAAAAAAATCAAATATATATGCAAACATATACATATGTATATATATCATAAATTCTATATGAATTTTTAACAGATATAATATGTGAACTTTTTATTCCAGTTTTACAATTCTATGTGTGCTGTGTATGTGTGTGTATCTTGAACGCAAACTTATGACGTTTTCAAACCAAACAGGTTTAATCTTCTGGAATAAATATAATAAGTCATTGGTCATTAATCACAGCCATTCTTTCAGAAGAGTGGAATAGACAGCTGTGATTGACCATACACATATACAGGGTAGTCAAAAAGTATCGGACCCCCCTAATATTTCCGTTCCCTTGCATTTTACAAGAAAATGTTTCAGACAAAAGTTGTAGGGTTTAAAAAGATCTAGTTACTGATCTTATCAGTTTGACCTTGGATGGCGTCGCCAAGGTCAGATCGAAATTACATTAACTTTTTTAAACGGAACACCTAACTTTTTATTGCATATTCTTGTAGCTTATCTCGAGATCTTTCCAAAACACTACAAGAAAGTTTATTTTCGTTGAGTACTTTCCGAGTTGTGAGGCTTGAAAGCTACAGTGTACTGTAGTGTGGGTCCAGCCAGTTAAGGCAAGAGTGGCGTGTGGGTCCGGCCAGCTGGACCCACACGCCACTCTTGCCTTAACTGGCTGGACACACGCCACACTTGCCTTAATTGGCCGGACCCACACGCCACTCTTGCCTTAACTGGCTGGACCCACACTACAGTACACTGTAGCTTTCAAGCCTCACAACTCGGAAAGTACTCAACGAAAATAAACTTTCTTGTAGTGTTTTGGAAAGGTCTCGAAATAAGCTACAAGAATATGCAATAAAAAGTTAGGTGTTCCGTTTAAAAAAGTTAATGTAATTTCGATCTGACCTTGGCGACGCCATCCAAGGTCAAACTGATAAGATCAGTAAATAGATCTTTTTAAACCCTACAACTTTTGTCTGAAACATTTTCTTGTAAAATGCAAGGGAACGGAAATATTGGGGGGGTCCGATACTTTTTGATTACCCTGTATATGACTGATGTATTAAACCTGAGTTATTAAAACTCGAAAACGCTATTACACACGCATGCAACTTATTATGCATATATACATAAGGTTTCTCAAAATTCGCAAATCAAAATAGTAGGAAATATTCTCGAAAAAGTAATATATAATGAAAAATTGCAAATTCTTTTTTATTACTTTTACTTTTTCGAAAATATTCTTGCTATTTTAATTTGTGAATTTTGAAAACCTTGCATGTATGTGTGTAGGTTTGCGTGCGAATGTGTATATATATATATATGTATGTGCATATGTGTGTGTGTAAATATATAATATTTAAATAATATACTCAGGATATTCTATAAATATACTATAAGACGTTCTTATAATAAACTAAAAAATATTCTTATAATATACTAAAAAATATTCTTATAATATACTAAAAATATTCTCAGAATATACTATAAGATATTTTCAGTATGTACTGAGAAGCAAACTAGTGAGACATAGGAACTTTCTCAGTATATACTTGATATATCGTAGTACATATTTCGAATATTCTTAGAATATACTCAATATACTTTAACGATATTCTCAGAACATTCTCCTAATCTACATGTGCTGTGTGGGTATATATACATAAATATTTTGAAGTAAAATAATATAATGTTTGGAAATATATAATTTATTATTTTACAAAATGTAAATTATATTTATTTGGATGTTATTATAGAAACATAGAAACATGGATCATAATATGTATACGTTCCAATCGCAATATCAGCAAGACGATGCCTTGGAAAATGAAAACTATTATTCTGTAATAAATGAAGATGTAAGTTTGGAGTATGAAGATGAAGATGCAATATTAATATCGTTAGTGCAGGACTATCCTTTCTTATACAATAAAGAGTTGACAGACTTCAAGGATAACATAAAAAAACAAAATGCATGGGCAGAAATCGCAACTGCTGTAAATATAACAGGTAAACAAAATCTTTTAATTTATTATTATTTATTTAACTAATTTTAGTGAAAAGTTATTAATGTTCACTAAAATTACTTAAATGCAATTAAAGTAATATGAATTATTTTTTGTTTTTATCAGTTATTTTTTATTAATTGAAATTTATTAAATTTTTATAATTTACATGTAAAAATAATTTTTATTATAACTCTCATTGTAACAGAAGAATGTCAATCTCGATGGACGAGATTAAGAGAACGATACACCAGGGAAAAAAACAGAGAGAAGCAGAAAGTACTACGGGAAGTAGAGCAGTCAAAAGAAAGCCCTTTGAATTTTATGAAAATATGCAGTTTTTGGAACGGTTCATTAAAAGAAGAAGGTATGTACAAATCCCTAATGCTTGTATTTTTGAAATTGTATTATTAATATATTGTACCTATGTCATGATTTATATATTTATATATTTTAAAAATGAAAAAAATTTATATATTTATATTTTATAAGAGAAGACTTCTCTTACAAAGTATAAATATATAAGAAGATTTATACTTTATAAGAGGAAATTAAAACATGTTTGTGTGAATAACTACGTCGTACAAAATAAACATCTAGATAGTAATGCACGCGAGCTATTTAGTTCAAGAATATTGCAACTTCGAGTTTAAATATATGAATATCCTAAAAAAATCATAAAAATGAAAAGGTCAGGCCATGTTCAAAAGAAAGTACTCAAAAATTTAAACCTTTAAAAATTTAAACGATCTAATAATAAATTATCACGAAAAGTAACTGATATGTTATTTAAGGTGCCAGTTCAAAGTGAACATACGTAAAGTGTATATTATCTAAATTTAGTAATAATATATTACCATGAAAAGTAACTGTGATATTTTATTCAAGGTGCAAGTTCACATTGAACATACATACATATAAGTAAAACTGATTACAATTTGATTCTAGAAAATAAGTGCGATATGTTATTCTTAGTGCACAAAATATAATAGTCGTTTATAGAGATTTGATTTGAAATTCATACTAGCCCGTACAATGAAAAATAATTGCTCGTAATTCCAGAGTACCAATTTGTTAATGACTCAGAAAAATAACATGGCGGCCTGCTCTCAAAAAACTATGATGTTTCTCGATGTCCATTTAGAAATAATGTCGAAGCTCTTACAGAATAATTACTACAACATTTGAAGTACAAAAAGTATTACATGAGAAGAAGATTAGATTAGAATAAGGATTCAACGTATTTTTAAAAGCTCTACACACAACGAAGTGAATATACAAAACTATATACAAATATCTTTTTCTTCTGTGTTTCTGAAGAAAATTGTAAGTCAAATGAAACCTTGCTATTCAAAACCTATTCTTCATGATCGCAAGACACTATTTTCTATTTAAAAGACGTCTGCTAAAATTTTAATAAATAGATATTATTTATGATAGAAATAAAGAATTTGTGCTTTACAGTATATGGATAGTACATGGTTATTTCAAACACTGAACCGATGCATACAACAAAACTTTTCTCTGTCTGTTCAATAAATTACTGATAATGTTAAATCGCAATCACATATGCCACCTTGCCTAGGTTAATGATGGTCATTAACGGGAAATTTTACTAAAAAAGGATTGGAGATTTTTAATTTATACAATTTTCACAACTCTTATTTCAATTATTTATTCTATCCATCGAAAGTTTTTTGAGAGCAGGCCGCCATGTTATTTTTCTGAGTCATTAACAAATTGGTACTCTGGAATTACGAGCAATTATTTTTCATTGTACGGGCTAGTATGAATTTCAAATCAAATCTCTATAAACGACTATTATATTTTGTGCACTAAGAATTATTAGCATTTTGCATTCATATTAGTTATTTTATTTGTGATAAAGTTACTAGGGCAAAGGTTTAGTGTCGACTCTAGTAATATTCTATATTTTCAGTCTTTTTTCAGTTCTATGTACTATATACTCTCTGCTCTTTATATCATCATCGCCACGTGTTACTTTCCTTTTATAAAGTTAGCGATCAGAGTTCCAAACAAATAAAGATTGTTTTTCACTAATAAGCTCATCAAGATATCTTTGATACACTACGTCAATCCCATAATTCCAATAGGTTATGGGCCCAGGCCCATCGACAATATTGTTTCGAAGACTAAAGGAGTTTAAGTGAGTAACGTAAACTAACCTCAAAAAAAAAAAAAAAAAAAAAAGGAAAATTCGCACGCGATCGCATAAAGATAATGAGTTCGGAATCGAAGTATACCATAACGAAATTGAACAATGGAAATTATTTCAATTGGCGATATAAGATAAAAATGTTATTAATTGAGAAAGGCGTTTGGACAGCAATTACGACAGATCCGCCAAATCCGATTACAGACAGCTGGACACAAAAGGATGAAAAGGCACACACTGCAATTGCATTAAATATAGAAGACGACCAAATCCAACACATTAGGCATTGCGAAACAGCGAAAAGTGCATGGAATAATTTGAAAGATTTCCATGAAAAGGACACGCCAAACAACAAAGTAAGCATCTTGCGACAGCTTATGACAACACGATTAGAAGAACGCGGTAACGTCGAAGCACACGTAACCAAAATGACAGAATTATTTCAACGTTTTTTAGCCTATGGAGATGATTTAAAGCCGGAATTTATCTTATGTGTCACAATTCTCAGTTCATTACCGGAAAGCTATGACGTATTGGTTACAACGTTGGAAAATCGCAAAGATGAATTAACATCAAGTATTGTTTGCTCGGCTGTGATTGCGGAATATCGAAAACGTCTTGAACGAAATCGCGATAATACTGAAGCCGTATTAAGAGCTAGCTCGTCAGCCAAAAGCGGGTCATTAAATGCAAAAGAAGAAGCAATCAGCGTAGATAAATCGAAATGTCTTTTCTGTAAGCGTAAAGGGCATTGGAAAAAGGATTGCCGTAAGTTACTTGCGCATAAACAGAAAAAGAGTCAAGAGCAACAAGGTAAAACTCAGCAGCAGGTAAATTCGGCTGAAACCAGCGGTGCTGTTCAACACCTATTCGCAACAATGATACCACATAACGACGGTTGGTTAGTCGATAGTGGAGCAACTAATCACATGGTGAGTAAACGTGAGTTTTTCACCAACATGAAGAAACATGTTGAAAGTATCTACGTAGCAAACGGTCACAAAGTAACTGCAACAGGCAAAGGAACAGTCAATGCGAAATTCATAAATAAATTAGGTGATATAACAGCAGTTTCGATTGCAAATGTTCTGTACGTGCCACAAATACAAGGAAATTTTATTTCTGTACGACGTTTGACTAAAATGGGATATACTGTAACTTTCGACAATGAAGAATGCAATATCATTCGGGCACATGATGGAATGCAAATTGCATTGGGCGAACTCTATGGAAATCTGTACAAACTGAAGACACCAAATACGATATGTGCGATAAGAAATCAAGATCCGGAACCAATGAAGAATTGCATTCATAAATGGCATAGTATTCTCGGCCATAGAGACATCCAAGTAGTGAAGACGTTACCATCAAGCGATCTCGTCGATGGCGTTCATTTTGACGAATGCAGCAAGGATTGCAACAACATCTTAAACTGTGAAGTATGTCTTCAAGGTAAGATGAGCAGGATGAAGTTTCCGGATTCGAATAATAGAGCGAAAGAAAAACTGGACTTGATCCATTCGGATGTCTGCGGTCCGATGCAAACAGCGACACCATCTGGAAAAAGGTACGTTCTCACCTTTATAGATGACTATTCTAAGTTTACAGCCATCTACCTAATTAAAGAGAAATCGGAAGTTTTTGGTAAATTTAGAGAATTCGTGGAGATGTGCAAGACGATGTTCAATCGCAAACCAAAGATGATCCGCACAGATAGAGGAGGAGAATACACGAGTGTCGAATCCATCAAGTTCTTGGATCGAGAAGGCATTCGATATCAACGGACGGCGCCATATAGCCCACAACAAAATGGCGTTGCCGAGCGTAAAAATCGGACGCTCATTGAGATGGCAAGATGCATGATATTGGAAGCTAAGCTTGAGAACAAGTTTTGGGGCGAAGCGGTCGTAATGGCGAACTATATACAAAACCGTTTGCCAGCTAAAGATATTGTACGAACACCGTTTGAAAATTGGTATGGCACCAAACCTAACTTAGATTTTTTCAAACGATTTGGATCGAAGTGCTACGTACATATACCTGACGAGAAGCGGAAGAAACTTGATTCGAAAGCAACTGAGGCAACTTTTGTTGGCTACGATGCAGTCTCAAAAGCGTATAGGTGCTATGTTCCATCAAATGGAAAGGTAATCATAAGTCGAGATGTTAAATTTGTCTACAAGGACAGCAATTGGAAGATTCATCAAGAGGAAGTTAAGGAGGAGAACGAAGTCACAATTACGCATCCACCTGAAGATGAATTCTACAGTGCTGATGATGAAGAAAATTGGATAGAAGAAGAAGATCCTGCATTGGATGAAGCATTAAGGAATAATCAGCAATTACCAATAGCTCAACGTGAAATAAATGAAGATACCCCAGTTAACGATGCGAATAACATTCGTCGATCCACAAGATCGAATTTTGGTGTACCACCACTTCGTTACACTGAAAAAATCAACATCATTAAGGAAGAATTAATCGAGCCAAAGACATACAATCAAGCAATTCATTCCGAATACAAAAATGAATGGATTCAGGCAATGAAGAACGAAATTAAGTCACTTCAAGAAAACAAAACGTGGGAGCTCATGGAATTGCCCAAGGATCGACGTGCAATTGGTTGTAAGTGGGTATATAAAATAAAAACCCATGGAGAGAACAAAGTATTCAAGGCACGATTGGTCGCACAAGGCTTCTCCCAAAAATATGGAATTGAGTATGATGAAGTATTTGCTCCTGTAGTAAAACACGCAACATACAGGATCTTACTTACTATTGCGGCTAGAAAGCAAATGAGAGTTATTCATCTCGATGCGAAAACAGCGTTTCTAAATGGAAAATTGGACGAAACGATTTATATGAAACAACCTCCCGGCTTCACTGAAGAAGGAAATGCACATCAAGTTTGTCTCTTGAGGAGGAGTATATATGGCTTAAAGCAATCGGCCAGAGTGTGGAACAAGACAATTCATCAAGTTCTCACGGATGCAGGTTACGTTCAAAGCAAGAATGACCCATGCCTATACATATTGGAAAAGGATGGCAAACTATGTTACATATTAATCTATGTCGACGATGTAATAATGGCCAGCGAAGACGACAATATGTTGAAGGAATGCGAGCAAGTCTTGTGTGCAGAATTTAAAATCAAGAATCTTGGAGATATTCAAAACTACCTCGGTTTACAAATCAAACGCGATCTCAACAGAAATTTTGCACTTAACCAGAAACAGTACATCATGAAGATTATCAAGGATTTTGGTATGATGGAAGCAAAAACCTCGAATGTTCCAATCAATGTGTCATACGGCAAAGAAAATTCGGAGTTGTTAATGGATAATGAAAACTATCGTAAATTAGTTGGTTGTTTACTTTACATCGCTGTGAATACGAGACCAGACATCTCAGCAAGTGTAACAATCCTGGCACAGAAGGTAACAAAACCAACACAAGAAGACTGGAATGAACTAAAACGTGTCATTCGATATCTTAAGGGTACAGCAGACCTGTCACTAATACTAAGTGGCATCAACGGTAAAACTGATCTCATCGGTTACGCTGATGCAAATTGGGCAGAAGACGTCGCATTACATCAACGCAAGTCAACTACCGGCTACATTTTTAAGTATTTCGATAGTGTAATCAGCTGGTGTAGCAAGAGACAAACTTGTGTAGCTAAATCATCTATGGAAGCTGAGTACATAGCACTATCTGAAGCAAGCAGCGAAGCACTATGGATTCGTCGTCTACTAAGGGACTTCAAACAACCGGTAAAGGACCCAACTGTCATCTACGAGGACAACCAGAGCTGCTTGAAATTGATCAAAGAAGAGAAGTTGTCAAATCGTTCTAAACACATTGATGTGCATGCTTATTTCGTCAAGGACCACGTGGATAAGGGGACGGTTAAATGTATCTACTGTCCAACAGAAGATATGATTGCCGATTTATTAACAAAACCATTACCAGCTAGTCGAATCATAAAATTACGAAAGCATTACGATTTAATGGAAATCTGAATGAGGAGGAGTATTAGCATTTTGCATTCATATTAGTTATTTTATTTGTGATAAAGTTACTAGGGCAAAGGTTTAGTGTCGACTCTAGTAATATTCTATATTTTCAGTCTTTTTTCAGTTCTATGTACTATATACTCTCTGCTCTTTATATCATCATCGCCACGTGTTACTTTCCTTTTATAAAGTTAGCGATCAGAGTTCCAAACAAATAAAGATTGTTTTTCACTAATAAGCTCATCAAGATATCTTTGATACACTACGTCAATCCCATAATTCCAATAAGAATAACATATCGCACTTATTTTCTAAAATCAAATTGTAATCAGTTTTACTTATATGTATGTATGTTCAATGTGAACTTGCACCTTGAATAAAATATCACAGTTACTTTTCATGGTAATATATTATTACTAAATTTAGATAATATACACTTTACGTATGTTCACACTTTGAACTTGTACCTTGAATAAAATATCACAGTTACTTTTCATGGTAATATATTATTACTAAATTTAAATAATATACACTTTACGTATGTTCACTTTGAACTGGCACCTTGAATAACATATCAGTTACTTTTCGTGATAATTTATTATTAGATCGTTTAAATTTTTAAAGGTTTAAATTTTTGAGTATTTTCTTTTGAACATGGCCTGACCTTTTCATTTTTATGATTTTTTTAGGATATCAGTTACTTTTTAAAGTACAAATATATAGAGCAGCTTTCTAGTAATTCAAGTATCACAAATATATGTATTTTCGATTTTTATCACATAACTTTGTATAAGTAACAATTTATGCAATACAGTTCAAAATAATTGAAATATATATGGTATATATGTACATATATAAAATATATAATTATATTATAGTATACATATATATTTTTTATTTAATCATATATGTAAATGTTTGTATAATTGTAATAACTTTTAACGATACATTGCACATTTATTTCAATTGCAACAGAATGAATTTATATTCTTGTATAAATATTGAAAATAAAGAATGGGCCCCTCCATCGCCCATTCTCGTGAGAACGCAACCATATATTTTTTTTCGTCTCTCCGATTTTAACACGACATACATATTTCTGTCTGATAATTTTTTTCTTGATGATACTTTTTGAAATGTCATGAAGCCTAGGTCAAATAAGAAACTTATTGCACTCGTTTTAATGCAGCGCTTACAGCAGCTTTTATAAAGCGCCAGAGCAGCCGATATTTTATTTTGGCGCTTACGGCAACTTTTATACAGCACTAGAACAGTTGATGTTTTAATGTAGCGTTTACGGCAGCCTTTATACAGCGCCATTATTTAATCTGTTCTAAGAACAATATGTATGCCCCTTGTGCTCCTTTGGGCCATTTTTTCTTGAACACTTCCATATCATTAGAGTAATACCATTCCGATTTTGTGTCAGCTCTCAACATACACGTGTAGTGACCACGATTCATTTCTTCACCTTCGTGAAATATAGCGCTTATTACCTTGTACTTTTTTTTATTAATCGTGATATTACTCATCAGCATGGCGGTAATCCGATTGTTGATAATTTTTTTAGAAGCACCGTTTACAAAAGTATATAAATTGAGCTGTATTACTACGACGGATAAAGTTGATTCGATTACGGTTTTCTTTTTCAACACGGTACTCTTACATTCGTTACAATTGCCGTTTATCGTTTCCCATTTAAAAAATTCTACATTAATCAAACTTTGTAGAGTGACACCTTTTTTTCTTTTTAATGTCGAATGTATAGGTAATATTAACAAACTACTGCTTTCCAGCTTAGTTATATTGTAATTACATTTGACATTCGAGCAACATGTTACGTGCTTTAATTCGAGTTCTAATACATCATTGATGTCGGAATACGTCGACATTAGAGCCGTAAAAAATTCCGAAACATCTTGTTGTGTTCGTTCTTCGAAGCGTTTTCCGACAGATCTTCTAACCGCTTGAATGTTGCAATATTTACGTTCACCATACGCGCAGATGGCATCAGTCAATGCATTCGATGCTTTATTTTTCAGTATTTGTTGCCTAATACGTACGCAATGAAACGCACATTGTAATATTACATTAGCGTAACACGAAACAGCATCGTTATTGCAAAGGCCATATATTTTCCACGTAACTATACTTTCTGGTTCCTCACAATCATAATTCTGCACATCATCAATGATATTAGGGATAGCCCATCGACGATCGTACATTTTCACAACCTTTTTCTCGGATGGATTGATTTGTGGCAGTTCAGATTTGAATATAGATTTCAGTCGATTATATTCTACAATGGCTCTCGAGTTTGCTTTAACTGATGCTGGATTGAAATTTATCAAATGTAGGCCTTCCAATTTACTTACTCGTGACAAACCTACATAGGCTTGACCATCACTGAATACAGTCGTTCCTAAATCCATCATTGCATTGTTACATGTAATTCCTTGACTTTTGTGTATAGTTATTCCATAACTGAGAGACAATGGAAATTGTTTCCGATGTATCACTAATTTGTGGAATACTTCAAATTTAATATCTACTTTCGTTATTGCGATTTCTTTGTTATCCGAAATAACTATTTTGATGGAATCAATACGATTGCCGTCAGCAGAGCGATTAACTGCAACTACATTGCCTATCGTTTCATTGACAAGTCCCAAAGTTACGTCAATGTTTCGTCGAATCATCACTTTAGCGCCAATTTTAATCGCTATTACTCTTTTAATGCCAGCTGTTTCAGACACTTTATCATCTTTGTCTTCTAAAATTTTATGCACCTTTTTTTTCATTGCTGGAGCACAGTCGACATCATCTTCTGCTATCAGTAGAATTTCATCGCTGTCGATTTTATCGAGCATTGCTGTGTTCAAAACCTTGCACAAATAACACGTGGGCAATAAACAAATTGTATCAATCGGTAATTGATTCATATAAGTGCAAAGTTCATTCAATCTTTCGTCGCAACTACTTTCTTTAAAATTGATTTTTCTAGACTGAAGAACATTGATGTCAGAATCCGTTACTAAACCTATTCGTATTCTAGAAAGTATATCACGATATGTATTGTCGCATCTTTGTCGCATATTAATCAAAAGTTTGTCGTACTCGAACAATCTCCACAAATCACATCCACCCATGGTACCTAAATACTTCTGAATCTCTGATCGAGACATTTTAACAAACAAAAATTGTCCTTTTACAGGAGGAAGCTGCAACAAGTCCCCAAACAGGAGAATGTGTTTTCTGCCAAAGAAACCATCATCTGTATCTGTCGTATCAAAGATCGTATCTAGGTTTTTATGATTTTTTGGAGATAGGGTGAGAGAGGACGAATGAGGGTAAGAAAAGACGAGATAGGCGAAAGAGGGTAAAAGAGGACGAAATTGAATGAAAGAGGGCGAAAGAGGACGAAAGAGGACAAAAGAGGGTGAAAGAGGACAAAAGAGGGTGAAAGAGGGTGAGAGAGAATGAAAGAGAGTGAGAGAGGACAAAGGAGAGTGAAAGAGGACGAAAGAGGGTGAAAGAGGTCGAAAGAGGGTGAGAGAGAATGAAAGAGAGTGAGAAAGGACAAAGGAGAGTGAAAGAGGACGAAAGAGGGTGAGAGAGGGCGAAAGAGGGTGAGAAAGAATGAAAGAGGGTTAGAGAGGACGAAAGAGAGTGAAAGAGGACAAAAGAGGGTGAGAGGGAATGAAAGAGGGTGAAAGAAGACGAAACAGGGTGAAAGAGGGTGAGAGGGAATGAAAGAGGGTGAGAGAGAATGAAAGAGGGTGAAAGAGGACGAAAGAGGGTGAAAGAGGCGAAAGGTGGTGAAAGAGGACAAAAGAGGGTGAAAGAGGACGAAAGAGGGTGAAAGAAGGTGAAAAAGGACAACAGAGGGTGAGAGAGAACGAAAAAACTGAAAAAATAGGACGAAAAAGGGTGAGTTAGGGCGAAAGAGGGGTGGGAGTGGGGGTGGGGGTGGGGGCGGGGGGACGGGATGTGGGAGGGAAAGGAGTGGATGGAAGTTGAGGAAGGTGTGAGTGAAAGGTGAGAAGAGATTTATATATATATTATATATATATAATCCTGATGAGACGTCAGCGGACGCGGACAGAGAAGAAGAAGAAGAAGAAGAAGAAGAAGAAGAAGAAGAAGACGACGTTACTTCATTTTTCATGAAAAACGTCACTTTTTGACCGCTTGTATCTCCAGAACGGCTTGACCGATTTTATTCCTTCTTGGCTCAAATTACTCGTGGCGATGCCGCCTTTCAGGTTATATTACGTGCAATTTAAAATTTTTTATATTTTAGTAGTTCTACACCCCCAAAAGATGGACTTTGATGGTGCAGGATAAGAGACTTGTAGTGTCTTTTTTAAGGTCTTTTAGGGTTTGAACACATGGCGGGAGACACTACCGCGTCTCCTGATACAATGTATTGTATGATAAGAAGATCGGTTACAAATCTTTTTATGATATAAAACGATTAGTTTTCATTTTTTCTTTTTGAGAACAGTAACAAACATGAAAACTTTCCAAGCACCTCTAGCGGGAAAATATTCCAGTCTTCAAAAGTATGTAATATTTTAATTAATCTTTATAAAACTAAAGTGGTGTTTGTAAATCAGTCAAACCATTAATGTATCAGTGAAAACTTTAGAATATGTGTTTTTCAGAAATTTCGGCTTACATATGGGACAGCAAATCTCTTCTGCAAAATTGGCAACCGAGGGACAGCAAATCTCTTTTGTGAAAATGGCAACCGAGGGACAGCAAATCTCTCCTGTAAAAATGGCAACCGAGGGACAGCAAATCTTTTCTGCAAAAATGGCAACCATTAAACAGTTTCCGGTTGCAAAATCTTGTAGTGCACAAAACATAAGGTAAATATTTTCACAAGCTTTAGTTTTTTTAATAATATATTATACTTTTTTATTTTTGGAAGAAAATTTTTTATATATTCGTGTATATTTGCAAATTGTTAATAAAACTTTTTATTTCAGAAACTTCAATACCTTTAATGAAAAGGAAAATGATAAAAATAACACAAACGTAAACATAAATGCAGATTTATTAAGTACGTACACAGAAAATCTGAGGTATAGTTGCTTTTACTTATAAAAATAAAATTTGTGATAAATTTAATGTAAAAAAAAAACTTTGGAATATATATATATATATATAAATTATTATTAAAAGTAATTTTTTGTTTAATGAAAAATTAAAAATAATTATTAGGAATGAGAAAAATATCAATTATATTTTTTATTCAGATTGCTTCAAATTTGTAGTATAATATTTACTAGGAATTATATATTTTATATACATCTACATAAATATATAAATAGAAAAAATAGAATACATAAAAATTTAAATTAATATTTCAAATCTTTTGTTTATTTCAGTAAAGACTCAAAGTCAAGTACACTCATCCGATATATCAGAAACAAATTCCGTATCAGAATTAAGTACCTCTGCCGCTGTACAGAAGAAAGATTTATTGTCAAAAAGAAAAGTAAAAGGAAAACAACCGGATGTTTTGCATAATGCAATTTGTAAGGTAACATTTTTATTGGAAAACAAATATTCAACTTCTTCGCAATCTACGCTAAAGCCCGAAGTAGAAGAAGATGTAGCTTTTTGCCAGTTAATACTCTCAACACTAATAAATATGCCACCAAACACAAAAACAGATAAAAAGAAAGAATTATTGCGCATTATATATGATATCTAATGTGATATTCAAGTGAGATATATTTTAAGACAAAAATATATATTATATAGTTAATATAGTACGTACGAATACTTTGTTATTTTGGAAAGAATATATAATTTATTTTATTACAATTATATGTAGTAGTACATACATAAGATTTTTATTTTATTACACAATGTACACATTTTTATTTTATTACACAATGTACACATGTATTTACAATATGTTTCTGTGTTATTACAAAAAGATTCTTACAATATGTTTCTATATTATTACAAAAAAGTTCTTACAATGTTTCTGTATTATTAAAAGTTCTTACAATATGTTTCTTACAATGTTTCTGTATTAGTACAAAAAAGATATGCAGTTTATTTTATAATAATTATACAAAGTACAACATATATTAAACGACTTTTTGTAAATTAATCAATTTACTTCTCTCTTTTTTTCATCCACTAAGATTAAGCTGAATCATATGTATTTCTTATTTAATAAATAGATCACGGTTTATAAGTTTAGAGGATTTACAAGCTTATTTTATATATAAAGTAAACTTTAGTAAGAAGATGAGCAAGACTTTTAATATAAATTATAATACTTAAGTTATAACTTATATTATTATAATTTATATTAAACGTCTTATTAAATCTTCTTACTAAAATTCATCCCGATGTTGTCCTCTTCTAACATAATCATACTGCCAACAAATCTCACCAGGTGATGTCATAAAATAATCTGCAAGTTTATCGCGTTGCTTATAAGCATTTGCAGTAGCACGATGCATGGAAGTAGGAGCTATATCTGTAAGTACACTTTCATATTGCCGCCACTGTCCAGGGATTATATTCCCTTCGGCATCTTCTGAGTCTATAAAGCAAGGAGGACAATATACTCTGGCCTGTGGTTGTACACAATCTTGCATATGAATAGGTTTCCTATAAATCCTCCATCGTACCGATAAAATTCCGAAAGTATTTTCTATAGTACGTCTTGCTCTAGACAATCTAAAAATCAGTAAAATGCATGAATAAAATTATGATAATAAATAAATTTATAACCATATAAAATGTTGTAACAATACATACACTACAAACCTGTAATTAAATATTTTCTTTTTTTCATTTACAAATTTTCCAGAGTAAGGTCGCATCATTTTTGTGCTAATGGCAAAACCACTATCGCCAAGAAAAAAACAAGGTAACTTAATATTGCTTCCGGGAAGATTTGCAGTCCCTGTGGGAAGATTTAATCTTCCTTCTTCTAAAGCCATATGAATTTCAGAAGAAGTGAAAATCCCTCCATCACTATTACCACCGTATGATCCAATATCAACTAGCGTAAATGTTCGAAAATCGAACGTCTAACGCAAGCTGAAAAGGCTTAAAACATTATTGCGTTAAAACTCATGCAATCGTTTCATTCACATGCAACATGCATCATGCATCATTTTATATTAATATTATTTCAAATAGCGCTCGGCCGCACAGGTATACGTATACCCCGCGCCTGCTAAAAGGAAGCGCTTACGTCAAATCACCGATAATGGTAAACACCGCGGTCACGCGAGAGGAGATACAATTTAGGCCCGATAAAAACAAAACGATTATGTTCCTGAAAGTAAATAATTACACTAAACGCTCTTTCGCCCTCAGCCGAACTATAAAATAAAGAGAATTGTTCTCGACTATTCTAGAAATACGGGCCTATATAAACCTCCTCTCTCGTGATCGCGGCGCTCTTTTCCGATTGCTTGTCGCGTCAAGAGTGTGCTTATACTTTACGAAAAAGATCGCTTGTCTTTTTCGTTTTTCACGTTTAATTACCGTTGCTTGCGGAACATTTAGTTATTAATTATCGACTCGGCTATTTCTTTTGATTTATTCTTATCAGTTAATTCTCTGGCAATTTCTGTGCGGTTTAAACAATTGTAATTTTTGTTGTTCGTAGTGTAAATATATTTTTTGTTTACGTTACGTGTGTGTCGAGTGTAGTGCTTCGCTGTCCTTTCGCTTCCGACCTTCCTATCCTGCTTTCCGTCGCGCACAGTAAACATATATTTGTAGTCACATGCTGCCATTAGCACTACACTAAAGGTTTTCTTATAATTGAAAAATAAAGTCCCCGAATTGGGCGGAGCTTGTATCTGCACGTGCTTTCCATCAAATGACCCAACACAATTGGGAAAATTCCAATTATCCATATAACCAGCACAAATATTTTTCCACTCTTTTTCCGTTGGTAAACGAAGATAAATGAGTTATAATACCATTGATATGACAGAGCAGGTTTCATGGATAACTTTTCTGACAGTGGATTCTCCACATCTAAAAGCCAACCCAGTGAAAACTACCTAGTCAAAGTGATGTCAATATGACATCAAAACTGTCGTATGTCGTCATTGCGTCAAAGAAGTAATTCAATATGACGAAAAATTGACATCATATATTTTAACGTGCATAATGAAATATTATATATAAAAAAGATTAAAGTGAATGTTTAGAAAGTTTAGATGATATATTGTAGTAATATGTAGGGAAAACTCAATCAGTGTCATATTGATATCAAAATGACTATATTATGATGAGACAATTTGATTCA